CACAGAAAAGTCACAGCATAATCACAAACATAATTATTTCCATGAGTTCTAGATGTTGCCAGAGCAGGCAATCTCAAGGCTAGACATTGTGTCGCTACTACCGGTCTCGTCACCGAAGAGCTGACAGGATATCCCACGTCTCAGACAGCTCAGGATTCCGTCCCTGCCCAATCACAGCTAGGACTGGTCCAACGGAGCTTTGCCCCCCAGAGAACTCGATCATAACATGACTGGATCATCATCGACCGATCTAGAATCTAGAGTGAAGGCTACCCGAAATCAGGCCACCAAGCTTCCGACTTTTAAACCCACGGGTTTCCCTTCTGCCCATAATCCATGGACGCCAAGCTACGGCTTGGGGTTTAAGTTTAGCGGAACAGGGACAGAGTCACCAACACTGTGAACATCAGAGACATTTGCAGAGACATCGCGAATGAAGGTCACAGAGTCATGAGAAAACACTCGGAAAATCTTGAACCCTAAACAGCTAGAACCCCTAGCCCCAAACCTAAGTTAAGCGCCTGGAATCGCCTAGAAACCCCTCAACCCTTCACCCCGGCCATCCGAGGCACCTGGTCCTTTCAGCGGCGGTATCGCGGCGAGGGCAAGGCTGGATGGATCGTGCTCCTGAGGGTTTAGGGGTTTAGGNNAGGGTTTATAGGGTTTAGGGTTGAGAAGCTTGATCTGCAGCCGATATCACGATGACTCACTGTGCTCCGCTGCAGAATACTTTCCAAAGTGCCTTGTGCTGAAACGCCCACATTTTGCCCAGTGTCACTTCGGTACGCTATGCCGACTAGCGATAGCACATGATATCACCAACAAAATCACAAGTATCACATGGTGCTACATTATCTTTCTTATAACATTATATTATATTATATCATGTTATANNTATATATATATATATTGATTGTATGAAGATCCGAAGGGTCCCTGCCTCGTAGCTGAAGTCTCCGAGCCCCAGCTGTCCCCTCACGGGATTGGCAGGCTGGCTTCGATGAATTCTAGCATCTATCTGACTCAGGCATCCCTGCTCCTTCCTGCCTGACCCATGCCGAGTAGCGTTACCAAACCGCCCTGACCTTAAAACAAGATCGATATGGCAGTGTCTCGTCTTCTTCTGAGCCTGAAGCCCAGACCCTGAGAAGACCCCATCGAAAATTTAATGTGGGCAGGAGACAGGTTGTAGCACAGGGTGATATACTAGAACATCATATGATTTCACATTATACCATAGAATAAAGGAACGTAGTATGAAAGCATCGTGACGAGCCCCAATGTGAGGACCACGACCCGCGGTCGGAACTGATACCATGACTCCACGAAGAAACTCCCGTGGCAAGATCACGCCTTCAAAGCCGCCATATCTCAACAACATATCCGCCCAGTCGTTGCGGGAGGCCACTGGGCAAGTTGGGCATTCGACTTATCTCAGCACATGTTCCTGCAGACAGGAAACAGGTGGAGTATCAATAAACTCGGGATCCTCGACACGAAGAAACCTTGATCGTTGTCAATACCAGGATCATCCAGCATCTTCGAGATTATCATCAGTATTCTTCTTGGTTGCTATCACTCTTACCATATTTTCTCCTGCATGGCTGAGCGAATCACTCGGCTCTAGGCATTGCTATTAATACTGGAGTTTTGGGCCCCTTTCAAGTCCCCAATATACCCCCAAAAAGGGACCCTAGTTTAGAGAACTACCCTCATGCTTGGAATTGCTAGAGTACACCTCAGCGCCGACCTGCCGTTGCTTCCGTACGCGAAGGCATGGCCGGCATCGGTCACCAGAATGCAATGGTTTCCGCCGACCGCCACTTCCTGGACTAGCCTTGGGTTCAGGGGTTTCGACT